AATCAAACCAATATTATTTATTAATATTAAACAACATATTTTTAAACAGAAAAAATTTTTACTTATTTTCGACCTTGACTTTAAATTACTAATAAATTTATGTCAAATCACTATTTTCAAATTTATCAGTGCTCAAACTGAAGCTAGAAACAAGTTTGAGCTTTCGATTGATTCTTTGGTGAGTTCTCTAACTTGCTTATGAGTTGAGATATAGCCAAAATAGCACGCCACGAAATTCATCGAAAAAAGCCACTTTTTTCGTTTTTGCTTATACTCGATTTTCTTGCGGTAACTTTTTCCAGGGCCAAAAAAATGGATGTCTCAAGAGTCAAACTGTATGTTCTTATCGAAACAACGAGAGTAACGTCTCGTGGGTATCTCATTTTTATACTCATTGATGGTGTGTTATTAAGTAAACATCTTTCGATAGCATTTATCAGAATATCGACATGTATTCATTTTTTAAAGATTTTTTTGAAACATCAGTCCTAAATATTATCCTAATTTTATATGACAAAGTAAAATTAGACGCTATTTCTGAAGATAAAATCAGAACTTGAAAAAGTTTGGGGAACGCACTGAAAAATGCATTTCGTTCTTTAATCGATTTTTTTTTATAGCAGCATTGAAATAAGATTCAATTAAATAGAAACATAAAAAATTGCGTCAAATCCTACATGAAAACATCTTTTTTTTTTCGAAACAAATTGAAAATGTTAGAAGTATGATAAAAAGGTCCATTTTTTCAAATACGCATAACTACGGGCATAGTTGATATTTTTTGCCAATACTTGGTGGATTATCTTAGCATGATGTACAGAATAATTGTTTCCAGTACATACTGATTCTTAAAAATATTTAACGAAATACTGTCATTTAAAATTTTGAAAAAAAAACTTTATTCTTAATAAGCTAAGTACGTATTATGAGTAAAAATCGCCAGCAATAGTCTTTTCTTTTTTNTATTGGTTTTTAAAAAGTTCAGTACAGAAGGTAGACATTTAATCAGAAAAAAAGGTTAGTACAGAAGGTAGATAGTTCATCAGAAAAAATCATTATTTTAACCTTTACAATGGTAAGAGTATGCTTGAGACCATTACTGCACTTTGTAAATAGTATCAAGTTTAATAGATGATCGAGTCGTTTGAGAAGAACTTTTCAATAAGCCTTCACACGAGAAAAAGGAACAACGATGGTAGAGGTTAGAGATAAAACATGTACGTAAAAACTCCATAACTGAATATACGTGGAATCTAAATACCATACTACAGAAAACTACATTGATGAACGAATTTCTGTGAAGAATAAATAATTCTTTTTATGATAGCATTAGCTTATTACCTGAAAACTGGCGAAAGGTTCTTATAGGGGTAACGATGGAAAATACATTGTAAAAAAACGTTTTTAGTTTTTTTATTTTAGCAAATTATTGAATTTTACCCCCCCAAAATAAAAAAATACAAAACGGTGGAAACTTATTTTAGTATCTAATGTATAGATGCACATTCATATGTTTGTAAGAAATAAATTTTTAAACTTTTGTGAAACTTCTAATATCTTTCATACAATTTTTTTTCTGTTTCAGATACTATTGGCTTCGGAATAATTTCAAGCATCTGATTGTTTAAGTAGTTTATCATACAAGGAGCTTATTTGTACAGCTATTTATTATAGGAACCTTCAATATACCTCTAGTAGTGTGTCTGTCATTTGCACAAAATTTTTTCTTTATTTTCTGTCTAAAAAATAAGAAATACACTTTTTGAGGAAATTACAAAAGAAAAATCTTTACAAAAAAACTGTTCAGCCTTGCTATACAACACTTATGTTAAGCACCCTTTTTATTCTCAATCTATGTGCTCCATTCACATTTAGTGCTTAATGGCCTTCATACAGCGAAAGAAAAGCATGTTAAAAAACTTTTAAATTAGAGACTATATGCCAAAAGTATTCATTCAGAGCTTATTCATATTCAAAGCTGGTGTCTTAACGGACAGAAATAGAAACACTTCTTTCTTGGCCTTCTATTAACAATCATATGAAACCGTCAAGTATCTGAAACATAAAATTTTTTAGTTGCAACATTCCTTCGAGAGATTTTATTCGTCCTAGGTATGATAACTTTTTTTTATATACAATAAAGTAAAAACAAATGTTCATCTCCAACATTCCTAGGAAAAGAGTTAACTTTTCTGATTACTTAATGTTTTTTTGATAAATAATATTGTTTTGTTTCAAATTTTCTTTCACATTATTTTCAAAGCAAACAAAAATTTCGTGAAATGACAGATACTTTTACTTTAATATAAACAAATCCATTTTTTTTTTTAATTTATCTAATAATTTGACAATAAAGCAACATTTCTACCTACTAGTAATAAATCATATTTTGCTATTTTTATCTCTATATGATTGACATGCATGTAAAATAATTATAAACTTAGCATCTTCAACACCATGTTATTGTAATATATGCAACTTTTTGCAAGTATCCACAAGGTCTCCCACTTGTTCCACCACATATTATTAAAGTTTCCGATGACCTTCTCAAAGGATTTTTTGATTTCTCCTTCTTCAACGATACTTTCTGGATTTTAGATCTTGAACATCGTTTTCCTTGGTAGTAATCATCTTTCCTTGACCAGCTACCGACTTTTTGAAAAATTCTGCAGCATTCTTGACTCCTATAGCTTTTAAGATCAGATCTCTATTTTTAGTGACGACAACACCTTCCATAACAGCTCCTGTCTCGTCAGAGTTAAAGTTTGCCTTGATGGACTTAAATAAGTACTCCTACAATTTTTCACCTACCTTTACCTACCTGCTTCTTTTTACTCGTTCTGTTCCCTTGAGGGCACAGTCTAGAGATTTTTTCTGAGCATGGCGAGTGGAATGATCTCTTCTAGTGTTCTTCTTTAATTAGAATATGTTCTCTTATGATTGCTGCTGATTTCAGGTGTTTAAGAGTAGCTTTCAGACCTTTTTCCATCCACCACCTGAGGAGGCGCCTCGTATGGAAAAACTAGCAAAACCTCACTCGTATATTACTTATATTTTGTTCGTGAACTTAGTTGTTGAACATGTAATTCTGCTCTCAGTTTTTTGTCGTAGACATGTAGTAGTCTGCAACGATTGCTGGAACTATTCCGGCTTAGCCTAATGAGGTTAGCTTAAGACCAATGAAACGTTGCTTAAGATAACATCAAATATCATGGAATCTTCATTTTTGTTCTTTGATTAGCTCTTTAATGACTGTCTACTTATGCACTGATTCTACTAGTCATAATATTACGTTCATTTTTATAATATGTATTCCTAATGAAGTCTTAACGTAATGAATAAAATCATAATTGATTTTTCAATAATCCTTTATTGATGCAGAATAGATTTTTTTTTGTTTAAGCTGCAGTGAGACTAGAAATGGGTTAAAGAGAGGGATGTCGAGAAAATGATACAATGATGAAGACAGTAAGAAATCAAGCATAACGAGTTTCGCAATAAATGGACTGGAGTCTTAACTAATAAACTTTTATGTTTATTTAAATACCTCATGGTACTAAATTTATTTTATCGTTTAAATTAAGAATAATCCTTCTCATAGTGTTTCTATAAACGAATCAAAAAAGAGCACGTGCTATACACCTGTTACAAAATAAGTGAAGTATCTTTATTCTGAAAAAATTGTTACCTTCTCGTCAACTTCTAATTTCCAATGAGTAAATTAACTCAATCATAAGGTCATGATATTAACGGGAATACATCATCATGGTTAATTACTAAAAAATTGGTGTGCCAAAGAAAGGTACTATTTTCGTAAACAGGAAAAAAACAGCAAATATAGGCTAAAATTGGGTTCTACCTTAAATAAAAACCAGAGTTAGGTATTGTACCCTTAAAATTTAGAATTAGCGGCCTTAACATTACCCAATAACGTCAGATAACTGATATTCCAAGAGCTAACTGTAAGAATTATCAGAAATATTTAGAATCATTCAGTGCATAAAAGTACAAAAAAAGATAATTTAAAATAATGTTGTTAAAGTGACCTGAACAATAAGTATACAAATCGTTGGATCTCACTAATAAAACTAATTTTGATTTACTTTTATGTTTATAGATTCAAATCTAGTCATGGGATTCAAAACTTTAATATACTCTCATTAAGAGCGGTTATCAGGATATGCTACTTAACTAAAATAATTTTATAATACCTATCATGTGTTAGTCATTTAATACCAGTGTCTAGGATTTAAAAAAAAAAAAAACAATCGTCTGCAATTTCATTTTTTGCCATAACAGATTCATATTGACGTACTGCAATACACTGTATAATACTTTTTATGCCTTCTTGTTATGTACATATATTTACAGAGCTCTTTAAGTTACTTGCTGTTCTATTTTTACCTTATTCTCAAAAGATACTGTCTATGCAAGGAACGATAGAATAGAAATTTTAATTGTTTACCTTAACGAGTGGAACTTCCAATTCATAAACAATTACTTTGTTCCAAAGTATGTTATCAACTAATGTATACTGTTAAAAAGTTAAGAAATTCCTATTAAATTGTAAGTAATACTAATAGAAACTGATCATGAAAAAAATTTTTTTAAATTCATCTAAATTTTGTACTTGAAAATAATTTTAATGAACAATTTTTTCATTGCTTGAATTGCATATTTAAAATAAGGCTTAATTGTTTTCTACATTGCCAAATATCAGTTCATGAACTAAGTGATTTATCATTTATTTGGATTTTCATTTGGACTGGAATAGTTTTCCCGTAATCTAATAGATTTTCACTTTTTTTACAAAAAAAATTATTAAGCTGAGAATTGATGAACATATATATCAAACGTGAATGTAGACAAATGACTTTTATTTTTAAGCATCCAGACACTTGCCACTTTATTCCACCATCAAAACATATTGCATGTATACATAATAAGAAAATAAGTTTAATATCAACCACATTGACTATATTTTTGAATGACTATTTTAGGCAATCTGACGAACCTTAAGACTCGCTTTATCATTCCTGTGGACCTAAATGCACTCATTTACAAGAATGCGGTGTTGCTGGCACAGTATAACTTGCACTTTGGTAACAAGACCAATATGGATAACTACAACCGTCGTGCGACTGAATGGGAGCAAGCAGTTACCGCTATTCTTTGGCATGACGAAGTTGGTGCCTGGCTTGATTATGACATGTTGAACAACCTAAAACGTGATTACTTTTATCCCACAAACGTTCTGCCTTTATGGACGGGCTGCTACAATTCTCAACGGCGTGAAGAACACATTTCCAAAGCCCTTAAATACCTCGATAAAAACAATATCATGGAGAATCATGGTGGTATTCCCGCCACCCTTGAACACTCTGGTGAGCAGTGGGATTATCCTAATGCATGGCCCCCTCTTCAAGACTTTATAATTATGTCACTTGATAACACCAATGACTCCTGGGCCAAGCAACTGGCATATGACCTTAGCAAGATCTGGGTGCGTAGTAACTACAAAGCTTTCAACAAAACGAACAGCATGTATGAAAAGGTGAGCATAATAATATATAACTTGTAGTATTTTATGTAAATTAAGGTTTTGTCATTGCTCCTATTATCAGTTCTTTTTTTTTAAATGGAACAAACATTTATTCATATTACAAAGTTAGTAATCATATTTCTCTTTTGTTTTATAGTACGATGCGACGGTGCTAGGTGGTTATGGAAGTGGTGGCGAGTATGAGGTACAGTTGGGGTTTGGATGGTCTAATGGTCTTATCATTGACTTGCTAGATAAGTACGGTGACCGGCTTACTATTGAAGATAGTTTTCTAGCTTCCAATACAACAATGACGCGCAATCAAGCTAGCCTGGTGGCGATGGTCTCGACATCTGGTCAACTTGTGACTGGTGTCTGCGCCCTCATCATATCTCTGGCTGCGGGTTTCATTGGGTGAGGTTAGTTTTGTTTATCTTACCTGAATTTTCATATTATTCTCGTTTTTACTTATTTTTGTTTGCGTGTGTATATTGGATGCTTAAATGTGTTTCCACTATTTACTCACATTGTCATTAACATTACTTAAGCGTAAAGTTAAAGAGGGCTTATCATTTACATAAAATAACTGTAAACAAGCTTTAAAATTTAACATATTTTGTTATATTGCAGTATTATTAACAATCTGCCTTACTATATTATAAATGTCAAGTTTTGTTCTTACAAAACAGTATGACACTGATAGTAAACAGCGAGTTATATAGAAGTAAGGTTCTGTTAAAGAGTATTCAGTGGGATCAAAAAAGTGTAATATGGTGCGAGTCACTTAAACCAAATGCAACTATCATTGCTAATCAATATCAGAAAAAATAGCGTATCTAATTAAAGTACTCAAGAAGAAAAGTCCAGAATATGTCAAAACGAATAACAATTGTATTTTTTGTCATACAAGTGCCATTGTCACCTGGACTACTTTAGTGTTTACATGGATGTGTATGGATTAAAATCCCGTCGAAAAATATGAAGATATTTTTTCGGGCTTTTTGAATGGAATAATTATCCAAGATTCTGAAACCCCACTTACCCACTTTCTAAAAATCAAATAGGACATTTGTCTGATGATGTCTGGACCTCTAGGGCTTCCTTTTTAAATGGAAGCCAATCCCTGGTCAGCTCATACGTACAGTCAATATTGGTTTTTAAAAAGTTCAGTACAGAAGGTAGACATTTAATCAGAAAAAAAGGTTAGTACAGAAGGTAGATAGTTCATCAGAAAAAATCATTATTTTAACCTTTACAATGGTAAGAGTATGCTTGAGACCATTACTGCACTTTGTAAATAGTATCAAGTTTAATAGATGATCGAGTCGTTTGAGAAGAACTTTTCAATAAGCCTTCACACGAGAAAAAGGAACAACGATGGTAGAGGTTAGAGATAAAACATGTACGTAAAAACTCCATAACTGAATATACGTGGAATCTAAATACCATACTACAGAAAACTACATTGATGAACGAATTTCTGTGAAGAATAAATAATTCTTTTTATGATAGCATTAGCTTATTACCTGAAAACTGGCGAAAGGTTCTTATAGGGGTAACGATGGAAAATACATTGTAAAAAAACGTTTTTAGTTTTTTTATTTTAGCAAATTATTGAATTTTACCCCCCCAAAATAAAAAAATACAAAACGGTGGAAACTTATTTTAGTATCTAATGTATAGATGCACATTCATATGTTTGTAAGAAATAAATTTTTAAACTTTTGTGAAACTTCTAATATCTTTCATACAATTTTTTTTCTGTTTCAGATACTATTGGCTTCGGAATAATTTCAAGCATCTGATTGTTTAAGTAGTTTATCATACAAGGAGCTTATTTGTACAGCTATTTATTATAGGAACCTTCAATATACCTCTAGTAGTGTGTCTGTCATTTGCACAAAATTTTTTCTTTATTTTCTGTCTAAAAAATAAGAAATACACTTTTTGAGGAAATTACAAAAGAAAAATCTTTACAAAAAAACTGTTCAGCCTTGCTATACAACACTTATGTTAAGCACCCTTTTTATTCTCAATCTATGTGCTCCATTCACATTTAGTGCTTAATGGCCTTCATACAGCGAAAGAAAAGCATGTTAAAAAACTTTTAAATTAGAGACTATATGCCAAAAGTATTCATTCAGAGCTTATTCATATTCAAAGCTGGTGTCTTAACGGACAGAAATAGAAACACTTCTTTCTTGGCCTTCTATTAACAATCATATGAAACCGTCAAGTATCTGAAACATAAAATTTTTTAGTTGCAACATTCCTTCGAGAGATTTTATTCGTCCTAGGTATGATAACTTTTTTTTATATACAATAAAGTAAAAACAAATGTTCATCTCCAACATTCCTAGGAAAAGAGTTAACTTTTCTGATTACTTAATGTTTTTTTGATAAATAATATTGTTTTGTTTCAAATTTTCTTTCACATTATTTTCAAAGCAAACAAAAATTTCGTGAAATGACAGATACTTTTACTTTAATATAAACAAATCCATTTTTTTTTTTAATTAAAAAATATATTAAGAGTCAAAATTCAATATAAAAAAAAAATTAAAAAATCAATCTAGTGTAGCTAATTCATGTACCATACAAAAGTGATGATTGTATCACTTTTAGAAGATTCCAACATTTAAAAAATTTAGGTGCCCCTTGTACTTCTTAAGCTGAGTGGTTACTTTGATTCAATTTAGCTGCACCTATACTTTGCCTCGAAGTAACATAGAGGTATGAGAATACAGTAGCAGAGAAAAGCAGTTGAGAATCGAGTAGCATAAAGAGGCAGTTAAAAATTGATTGGTACGAGAGAAAGTACTTTATAATGTTGGTGAACGCTGTATGTAGGGTTTCACTGTAAATTAAGGGTACGAAAATAATGAAATAATTAGTTGGAAAGCTGAAATTTTATCTTTATTAGTACAACATAACCTACGAATTCTACGGTTGGCGGTTCCGTAACAGATGGTGTGAAAAGCTCTATATTATAATGATTTGATGGTATGGAATTCCTTACCTATGACATATCTTCTTTTAAAAAATCAAGTGGTTTCTCATGCCAAAATTTCCTCTGTTAAGATTTGTAATTCCTAATACGCTTCTTACTTCTTATAGTTATTTAATTTCTTAACTTTAAGTACTTCCGTAGGTAAGTTCTACACTACAGAGTAAACTAACGATTTCTAATCGGTGATTTTGAGAAAACGTGTAACGGAAATGAATTTTGCATTTAATCTCCCCCCTTTTCCTGGCCTCACCCGGCCTTTTTCTGCTCCTTTTGCCTTATCCCACTGACCCTGCCACCCTGCACATACCATACCACACCATACTGTCCAAGCGCATGTGCCAAAAAAGTCAACTGTTATTTTTATTGAATTATAATCTTTTATGCTACAACTAATTATACAGATATAAAAAGAAAATAGACACTTTTTTCAAGAAACGAATCACCGATCTTCTTCACGCTAGCAGAGTATCTTATCCACTCAACTACTAACCACTCCAATAAATAGAAATTTCTTTTTCATTGTTATAGTGTAATTCGTAACTTTTTTGTAATTTAAATATTCATTTGCTGTTTATTAATTCATTTAGTTTAGTTACACATACTTTTATTTGATACATTATTCATTTAAAAATATTTTTTTTTTTAAATTATCTGGGTAAATAAAATCAATTATAATCTCTACGGCCAACGTCCTTTTAAGTTAAATAAATAATAAAATAAAGCAAGTATAGCATTATGGTATGTCGTATTTAGCTACAGTCATCACTGTTAAATAGTAGAGTACTTTTTTTGCAATATTTTTATATTTTACTGCACGTTGTGTGACCTTCATAAAAATCTAGTACAGCAAAAAAAAAAAACATAAAATGTTGAACTTAATTTTTTCCTGCAAATTCTAGGACAAGTAAAAAACGTATGTATCATTAAACTATTTCATATTTGATATGGTAGCTGACAAAATATGATGAGTTGTCTTTTTCTACAATAGACAAAAAAATAATTTTAAAAATTTTAAATAATTTTCCTTTAATTAATCAGACAAAATATGGAGAAAAATATGAAACAGATATTTTTTTTTCTACGTGAAATGATGGTACTACTAATAAAATGTATGCTAATCGACGAAGATAGAGCTCACCAAAATTAAGAGTAACTTTCTTTTAGAGTTATATTTAGTTTGCATATACCCTTACAACATTACTGCATAAATCAAGTAACTATAACATGTTTTAGCGTAAGCCTTTGACTGATTTTGCTTATGTAAAAATCGAACTGCCGGAACTTCGTACATATTTTTTTCTTATTCGTTTTTTAAACTTAAAAAAACTGTAGTCTTTAAAAAATTTCAATTCCAACATTCTAGTCCCATGATCCTTAAATAGGAAATCATTCTCTGTCTAGTGGCATATGCTCACTTTAAAAACTTTTAGAATAGAACAAAGTTATTTAAANCATACGAGATTCTATTAACACATTAATTGATTTTTATTTAGTTTTATTCTATAACAATTTTTTTATTCGTGATAAAGGTCATTTTTCGACTTAAAAATGTTTATCACAGTTAGCTGGGTGAAGATTCAGAGAAATAAGAGGAGCGCAAATATGCAGCAACGTTGCAATTACTTTACTTAAATGGATATATTTATAAACTAGCGGCAACCCGTCTCTGCTTCACCCGAGACTTACTAAATGGAACACCGTCGTGTGTTAACATGTAATGTAAAACGTTTTCAGTTAGTCATTTTACTTCTATTCCTGACACTTCTCAGAACAAAAATCTTCTTATTAAAAACATATTTGTTTGGAATCCATACAGTTTATTTGTTCAAATAATAAGCTGTAAAAAATAAAAAAAATGTAATTGTGCTGAAAAGTACTGTGCATTCCTTATGCCATAAAATAATCGTTGGCCCTGAAGGGCCGTTGATTTGCAATTTTTTCTGTATAATCTACGAAAAGGACTATCTTTTGAAGCTGTTAAGATTTAAAACTTCCAAAAAATATGTATTAAAAAAAATTTTTTTCTCTTATCTCACAACTTTATTACCAGAGCAACAAAGTCCTGGAACTTAAACTCTACATTTTTTATTGTCACAAAAACACAAATAAATTTTCTACTTATTTAAAAATCTGAATTTAGATCTTTAAAGATTTCAGGGATTACTGTGAGGGTACAATGAAAAGCTGATCTCTCACGTAATGGATTATTTATTTGTGGATTTAGACGCTGCTGTTACAATCTCGATAAATTTTCTGCGTCACTTTCTTGACGCCTGAAATTGTATTTATTAGATACATTTCAAGTTTTTCTTCCAATTCACGCTTTTGTGACTTTTAGCATACTTAAGACTTTTGTGACCCCTAATGGCTGTTTTCTGTCAACTTTGTTAAGTTCTAATAAATTTGTTGGCAAGGTAGTTCGACGTCCGATGGCCCTAAAAAAGACTGGTGAGCTTCTTAAGTAAACTCTTTCTTGACTTCAGTTAACAGCTATTGTGACTGCCTGGATACCTCAGGGTAATATTATCTGGCCTGCTGTTGAAGTCCCAGACTGATCGGGAGAAAAATTGCCAAGTTCGAAGCCTTGGAGCTAGTTACAGAGATCTTTCCCAACGTCTCCTAGTGTAACGTCGAAGACGTTGGTGTCAAAAGCACTTTTTTTACGGACTCAGTTATATTGATAATCGAAGATGGAGAGATCGGTTCGTGATGCTTGCCCGTTAGAGACTGTCCCGTCGGCTCAAGTTTTTTTCTCTTCATAGCTGTTAGGTTCGTCCAGTGCAGACCTTGGAGAGGATCGGTGATTTCTGGTTGAATGCTTAGAGTCGAGAGGGTAATGTAGGGTCGTCGGTCATTGGGGTACCCCGCCATGCGAAGAACAACTCCGCTCGTGATGACTCCCAGTGAATGACTGACTTGGTTTAATAGTGGCCGTCTTTAGTTAACATAGTCTTTTAGTCGACGAATCGTTTCCGGAAATGGTAATAAAAATGTATTTGTTGGCAAGGTAGTTTAAACTTAAGTGGCCCTTAAAAAATCCTTGAGATTAATGGTTAAGTAAGGAACGTAAATACTTACAATGGCCCTAAAAAGGGCCAGTGGTGAAACTTCCAGCTATTCCTTATTAATATTCCTGATGATGACGAGCTGGCTGCGGGTAGCTTGACTCTTACCCTCGACGTCTCTATGTACGGAGACTGTGAGGAAGGTACGCTGCTGACCAAAGAATATATCGTCTTCGGGTCGTTCCCTGGATAACCAGCCGCTCATTTTTAGTCAGAATAATGTGGTAATGTCGTTGGGGACACGACTACTGAGAAGGGTATCGTTATGGCTGCCTGCATACTTCAGGGCTGCCCTCCCTGGCCTAAATTGGTATCCAAAAATTCTCTGACGGCACCAGGTGGGATGGTGGACCAGCTTCACAACTCTGAAGTGTTGGAGCAAGTTGTGCTCTGGCTCGATACGTCTTCTAGTATTCTGCCGGAGACGTCATCGGTTACAATAATTTTTTATTAGTGGCTCTCGTCAATCCTGGGGATTCAGGGTGGATGTAGACAAAGGTGCCTTGCCCATTAGAGAAGAGTGTCGTTGGTGACCGGGATACCCAGCTGCACGACTATCTTCTACATTCTCGATGCAGCTCACTGAACTACCGGTACATGACTGCAGTAACTTTTGGGACGCTCCAGCGTATCATAACCACACTTAGTTAATTCGTTTACAGGTAGCCTCGATTTGATGTCGACGCTACCTAGCGGATCGTACTGAACTAAAGTGAAAAGCTGGCGTATTTTTGTAAAACTTTAAGCTTATTTATTGCTATTGTTATTAAATTTTTTAAGATAAGAACTATACCTAAACCATCCAGGAAGTGTCAAGAATCAGGTTGAAAAATTTTAGCAAAATCGGTTCAGTAGTTTTTGTGGTCAGCGATTACAACGGTTTTAGCGACTTTGCTTTATATATTAGTAAGATACGCTTTTATGCACACTCAACCCCTTCTTCTTTAAATTATTACAAAAAAAACTTGTTGGCTCATTAGAACATTTAATAGGCATATCTTATAGTTATCTATCATGCACAAAAATTTCTGATTTTTTCAGTTTAAATACATCAAAAACTGTACAGTTAACCAGTCTACAATTTTCGTGGGTATTTTTTATGCTACAGCGAATACACGTTTGGTGTTTCAATAATATCTTTTAAAAAAACCTGTGTTTGATGAACGTCCTTCAGTGACATTAACTGGCATGTAAAACTATACTCTATTAAAGATGAAGTGATACTATAGGATGTGTCTCACCCTTTTAGATATACATACATTGTGGGTATTTAAAATGCGACTAAAAACGAGTGTATGAGCGTATGTGATAGATGCAAGCGTAAAGCTAGAGATGTAATCAGCTTTGGTGGTAGGAAGTTGTTTTAAAAT